TCGTGCAAATAAACATAGAATTCAATATTTTATCAATTCTATTTACCGTTTCTACGTGATTGTATAAGTTTATAAACAATTAAACCTTCTATTCCATAATTCACGAAAAAAAATTACATAAATCAAAAATACTTTTTGCTTACTACTATAATCAACGAGTGTGCATGTTTGCAGTTTAACCTAACATGACTAAATACAAATTTTTCTCCATATCAGGTTCTTCTCTAATTTGGAGTATTTGTGTTCAGTGCTTCAATTAAGTAATTACGCAGTACAGTTAAGGTGAGCAATGAAAATATGGTTATGCCCTTGCAGTAGTTAAATTTTTAGGTGATATCAATATTGCAAGTAAATGCACTAAATCACACGACTGCTGCATCACGTGAGAAGTCTAAAAATAAAATCTGATCGTTCTCATTATGTAGTTATTAACCACAATTACAATTATCCGATGTAAATAATGTACTAAAAATAATTGCCATCCCAATTATGAATTAACTTGAAATGCATATGCCAGAAGCATAATTTGTTGCTTGGTTGAGTGTTTGCAAACCTTCCTTTTGAGAATTTTTCACACTTATTGGGATGCAATTAACGAGGCCGAGTCTAATTCGAGTGCGCATGACTTTGCGCAGCTTTTTAATTTCCGGCAGTCATAAAGGTGTCAGAGCTCTTTTTCCAAATATTGTGATTTTAATGTAAAATTAACATTATCTGTAAACTGGTTTGAAAATATTATTTTACAATTATTAGGAAAATACGCTAAAATGGCTCCAAGGACGTCAGTGTATTCCGATTTTATAAACATTGTTTGAAGCTGAAAAATGACACATGACTCGCTTAAATATGTTCATAGACGTCCATGGCTATAATACTAAAAACTGATGATAGAACATCAAAAGAAACATGCTATCTATCTCAATATTGCTATTTAAAAAAAATTATCTGCGCCAATAATTCATCTGCACCGATATGTATTACATTCGCAGTTGGTAATTTTAGAGGTATTGGGCATCGAAAAAATAAACTTTTTAATTAAGACCTAGACCAACCTAGATGGTCAACTTTTCTGAAATTTCATAATTTGGTGACTTTTACAATAACACTAATTTACTCGACTGAAAAAGAAATCTCAAGGGTAGAAATACAAATAATATGGAAAAATTGTGAGAATTCGTCGCTTTTCCAACAAATTCCATTACTTCACCATTAAATGTAAACTTCATTATTATACATTATTACAAACATTTTACAACCTCGAAAATAAATCCCTGCAACCAATATTGTTACCTCAAACCTCAAACATTTGATCCCGCGAAAATATGTGATTTTACAACAGCCCGAGAATTTCTATCAAAGCAGTCTTAGGATTATAATTTTTCGCAGTGTCTTTTTGTTCTTCTTCGCGCTTTATTATATTCTTATCAAATAAATAATGCTTCAAGATCGTAGTAGGTTCTGTTATCTTAAAGCGGTAATATTTTAGATATAAAGCGGCACAACCCTCACAAAACAGTCAAAACCAATACACTTGATACATAGGAACTCTTTAACAATGCAATAATTAACACTCAAGTGCTTTTTTCGAGTTTCCGTACTCTTGGTGATATGAATTGGATAATGACTAAGATGATGCACGTTATCTTTAAAGGGTCGTAAGGTTTCAGGTTTTATTTAGAGGACCGTAGGCGAAGTAAATGTGTCCTGAACTGTTTAGTACTAATATCACACAAGTATCTACCTGTACAGGTAAGCACATGACAGGTGATAAAGCAATAAAGTGTGAGAGTTATGTGAGCAGGATATATTGACGTATATTTGTTTGTGATTCTAGTCAGGAAGCGTGAAATTAAGGTGATTATAATATATTTTTACATTAGGAATTTTACAAAACACTAAATATTTTCCTCATTTAAAACGGGTCGAAGTTTAGTTGATAAACTTACCAAAAGGGAAATTATTACTTGCTAAGTACTTTACAAAATTACCAAAAAAAATTGCAAATTGTTTGAAAGTGTCTACATTTGAATTTATACAGTATTTAAATAAGCGAAATGGATACATGTATTACTGTTCAATATATATCATCGTCTCGTCGATGTAATCTATCTCAATATTTCAGTTCATTGTCTTTTTAAAAATATATCATGCAATGCAAGGTTCTTGGTTAAAATAAATGCCTTTTTTTGTACTTTAAACCATTTAAAGTGTAAGGATGGAAAGACAGTAGTTTGAAAAAAAAACCTTGATTCGGTAGTCTTAAGGTATGTCACTCGTGAAATTTGTTGTATTAAGGATAGTTTTAGAAGTATATTTGGATAAGTACTCATATAGAATGAAACAAAATCTCAGAGAAAAAAGAGTTTGGTGTGCATCTAACTGAGGTACGGTACAATTTAGTTGACCTTTTTGCACTTAAATGTTAACTGTTTGATTAAGATCAGCTGTCTCGTTTAAAGTCATCATTTCGTAAGATGTATGGTCGATACACTGACATCGTCAGCAAATACAATTTATCATTGAGTCAAGTGCTGACTGACGTTTTCAATACTAATTGTTAGTCCATTAATTATATATCGAATTGACGATGAATTTTTCCGTTATTTCACGATCATGACAAGGATCATACGGCAGGTGAGACCGGTCTGCAAGGAATGCTCCCTCCTGGCACCAGATCCCACATCTGATGTTTTCGGAGGTCCGTGTTTACTCAGGTCCTATTTTGTATTGTTTTATGGACTGATATTGAATTCTTTTCTTTATCTCCATATCCTTCATTAATCACTTTAACCTCAGAACATAAAACTTACGAAATGAATACATTAAACGAGACTGCTGATAATCTTGTTTCATTAACTTGTTTGTCATTAATTTACCTCCTTTAGAAAATTATTCATACGTAGAGTGTACTTTTGCTTATCGAATCAACTGGGATATATAAACTGGGGTAAAAGTAAGGGACGTTGACTACGGAGAAGTTAAAGTCACCGAGTTTATCATAAAGATTGATTGTTAGATTACCATTAAAGTCTTTTTCAAATAAAATATCCAAGTTTGAAACAGAAGTGTCAGTATCTTTTATCTCACGCTCATTAGGATATATCGTATCGACATAAGAGTTGACAATATGTCCTCGATATATCTAAATGTGGAGTTGAAGGCCACAGCAAGAGTGGTAATTAAGCTAAAGTCCATTAGAAATACAAACTCGGAGCAAAGCAAAGACGGATCTCTGAAAGTATCACGGTTGTAATTAGGTGCCATTGTGGAGTAACACCCCCAGTAGTATATACAGCCAACAACTCCTTGTCAGTATATTCCATTTTAAAAAACATGAACGTTGTAAAGATAAGAGCATCTTTGTACGACCAATTCTTTTGTCAATAACTTTTTTCTCTTTTTGGAAATTGTTTGCCCGAAGAGAATGCTCTTGTTTATCAAGTCAACTGGAAGACATAAACTATCTATGCTGTGGTATTTGGCTAATTAATAAAGGGAAGCTTAGGATAGAAAGTTGAAGCATGTACTTCTTTTACGTGCTCAGGATATCACTTTATGAGGTTAGAAAACTATTATCTTATTTGTATTTGTAGTTTTATCTCACACAAAGGCATTGGATGTTTAAATATTTCGAGATCAAAGGGATATCTAGCATAACCATTGACATGGAAATAAATATTGTTTATTGACATATCTTAATGTTGAATTGAAGACCAGAACAATCGACTAGTTTCTTTTCAGTTCGGAGTTTTTTAAAAAAAAATGCGTCATATGAATGCAAAACTAGGTATTTGGTGCGAAATTATTACATATGGGATTCCAGCAGATTAATGGAAGGCTTGATCTTGAAGACTACATAGATATTGTGTATTAGAAATTGAAAAATCTTTTTAATATCAATTCGGAATGCATGTTTGTTCAATCAGAATGTTTTAAACAAACTAAGTTTTGCAGATGATGAATGTCAAGGAGTGTAAATTTACGAGTTCATATTCTTTATTGAAAAGTAGCCGTCAAAATACCTTGAATTTCATTAATCGTGGGAAATAGTGGTAAATTGTGTTGTAAAGTTCCATTATTTGATGATACTTTCGAAACATAACACATTACAATGTCTCCAAATTACACCTGAGATGAGGTCATATTAAAGTTATTTAATTTTTCTAATGCATATGTATTTACTTCAATTTAGCACCAAGGTATTAGATGACATGGATCCTCGTAAAAGTGCCCAGGACGTGATACGCTGTGACATATGTGAGACGGCTGCTGCCCAGATGCACTGTTATACATGCCCACTAAACCTATGCAAGGCGTGTGTTGGAGAACACATCTCAAGTGATGAACTCAAGGATCACAGAGTTGTTAAATTTCAATCTAAGAAAACAACTATACTCTACCCTAGATGTGCCTCTCATGAGAATGAACAATGTGAGATGTACTGTAGACACTGTGGTATTCTTGTCTGTCTTACTTGCCTGGCATCTGAGCAACATCTCGGTCATAAACTGTCAAAAATTCCGGACGTTATATATGAAAAGAAAAATCTGATTATGACAGAGCAAACTGAATTAAGTGAAACAATTCATCCAACCTATCAGGGCATTGCATCTGATATCGAAACAAGAATAAGTCAGATGAAGCAAGAATTCGAAGATCTCTCAACAACAATATCAATTCATGGATTTAAATTGCATGGGGAAGTTGATAAACATCTCGATAAACTTAGAGCCCTAGTTGATAACATAAAATGCAACCAATTATAATCTTTACAGATACATTTTGAGGGAATTTGCAATAAAATTGTTGAAATTAAAGAAGATATCGATTCAAATAATTTTGCTTTAGAATCCAACGACTTTTCAAGTTTAATTAATTTAAGTTCCAGATTAGATTTATACAAAAATCTCCCTAAAAAACTTGTACCATCTGTACCTAAATTCAAACCTCGTGCGATTCAAGGGGATGAAGTTAGTAAACTGTTTGGAGCTTTAACATCAATGTCTCTTACACCAGAAGAGCATTGCTACAGTTTCATCACAAAAGAGCTATCACTAGATGTTAGATCCACCCCTCCACTCACAAAACAATCATTTGAAGATGGATACCCTCATTTAGTCACAATGATAATTCATGAACCACAGATTTTTCACACAGGGATAGAGGGAGGTCACATGATGATGAATGTTGCCTGTATGGATAATGCAAATATATGGACTTGTGCAGATGGTCGCATCACTCTCTACAACGTTGATCAGAATCAATCACAACTTATTTCAATCAAACAAATTCGTACCTGGCCGAATTCCATAGCAGTGACAAAAGGTGGTGATCTAGTTTTTACTACACACTCGGATAGAACTGTGAACATTTTGAATAATGAAGGAATTCGAGAGGTAATCAGACTCCGGATGTGGAGACCTCACAGTGTATGCTGTACCTCTTCCGGTGACTTTCTAGTTACGTTGGAAAATGATGACAAAAAACGCTCAAAAATTATTCGATATTCTGGTTATAAAGAGAAACAATCTATTCAGTTTAATGAAAATGGCAAGTCTCTTTATTCATCAAGTGGTTCTAATCTACACATATGTGAGAACAGAACTATAAACAGGATATCTGTGTGGCTGATTGTGGAGCTAAAGCAATAGTGGTGGTCAATAAGACTGGGAAATTTAAATTCAGATACAATGGGCATACTAAAGCTTCAACTAATAACTTTTTCAATCCAAGGGGAATCTGTGCAGATAGTCAGTGTCACATTCTTACAACTGATGCCAATAACCATGTCCATATTATAGACCATGATGGACAATTTATACGTTACATAGACTTCCGATCGTGTGAATTATTTGGGTTGTACAACTACACGTACAGATCCGGATGACAATCTCTTTGTTGTAACCAAAAGGAAACCAACCTGGTATTACCTCTATTCTGTGATAAAAGTCAAATACCTGCAGTGAAATCAATTACTTTGATGGTCATTTACCATCAGAATTATCTAAGACTACACTACCAATATTAATAATTTACATTTATATACGATTGAATAATTCCTATCATTCTGTTTGGCTGAGATCCAACTCTGTAGAAAAAATACGACGATGTATTCCCCTGCACTTGACGTCTCAGGTGAATATAAGGATTACGACATATAAAGTGCACAGCAATGTGAGGGCTATTAAGCAGTGAGGAATCTTTTTCGTATCAACACCTAAATATGCATAAAGGCTAGGTTAAGATGTATCTTGTCTCATCCAAAGGATAGGTCTTCAATTCCCAGAGTTATTTCATACCCGCGACGTTAGGACAACTTCGTACTCTGAAAGTTTAAACACTCTGACCACTGCTCTAAGCGCATGACAAAGTGTACAGACCTTCAAGCAATCATACTTTTGCTGAATACATTCTGTTTCTGGGGATCGTATTCCACAACACATAGTGCTATTATAACTGATCGTTTTGGACACTGTACTTCTGAGTTGTAATCTTAATTTCTTAGTCATTTTCCTTTCTATATAAAATTCGTGTTTAAATAGTGTTATTGATTTCTGCTGAGCATTTTATGTTATTCTGACCAATTAGAATTGTGTGCTTTTGATTCAATCTTTAATAAAAAAAAATTTTTATAATAAAAGCTTAATATCCTTCCGTGAAATGAATAATTTTATTGCCCCTATTCCTGACAAAAATTGAACAACACAAAATCAGAGTAAAACTGAAAACAGATGTACCTGGCTTTTTTTTTTACAGAATCATATTTGTATAAAACAACACATTTAGTGAGCATTGCTTAAGGAATAACTGTCTTAGTTTTTGATTTCAAAATATGATCAATCGATTGGCTTGCGTCATAATTTGCATAAAAGCCGAAGGCGTTTATGAAAAATTATTCCTTATATTTATATGCTCTTGATTCCGCCAATCCACGTGATACAAGATGCTTTCGTCTAGTTGTTTATCCTGCACGTGATTTTTTTCAACCGCGCCTATTGATGAACCAGTACATTGATGACGAAATAAAGTACGTACATTGACTTTTTGTGATTTTATCTTGGACAAAGACATTGGAAATGTAAATATAAAGAAATCATTTCCAAAATTAAACAGTAAATAGTCGAGCATATTGCAACAGCATACTGTGAAATCACACATTTTCGTGGGACTTTAATTTTCGTTGTTTTTGTGGTGTGAAGAGAACCACGAATTCATGTCCACTACGAAATGTAAAATGTGATATTCATAATAACTAAACAATTCTACACCCACGAAATTAAATCTCCACGAACCAAGAGTTTTTCTTCAAATAACGAAAATTTGACCCCACGAAAATATGTGATTTTACAGTATCCCTTTTCTTCAGGGGGATAAAACTTAATTTCTAACTTTTAATTGTGAATTCAAAATCTTAAAAACATACCTAAAACATATTAAATCTCTGAAATTAATTTATTTCACTGCAAAAATACCACAATAAAAGTAATTCATTAAAAAGAAAAATATTTGCACAGCAATACTCTTGGGTTACCACTATATCTCTGACACATCATTCGCACATATAGAGAGAACGGTCAAACGCAAATCTTATTTAAATTAACACAGAACAAACTATTATATTGAACTCAGCAAAGAATAAAACCATTTTGCTAGACCCGAGATTATCTCCTGTTACACCATTGCAAAATCATTTTAACAAAAGGGAAGAGAGAGTCAGGTAGCATACAGAGATTTTAAAATGCACAGAAAAAAGTACTGGGTTTGGTACGGAATGAAATTTCAACTTGTTACATGTTAAAAATTACCCGGGATCATCATTTATTAAAGTCTGAGATATAATTTACACAACTAGTAGAGGAAAGCAAGATCCTAATATAATAAAGTGAAATTATATAGTTAAAGTATATCATTTAAGAAGTGAACAAAATTTCCCCAAAGCCAGTACTATTGTCACAGTTACAAACATTAGAAAATCATTTGGCTGAGATAAACAGACAAATTGATGAAATGAAGAATCAAATCGAGTTACTTGATACAGATGCAACATCTAATGACGTTTCAACATCAATCAATGTAAACTCCATTGTACATATAAAAAGCTTCCACAAAAAACCGTGCCCTTTGCACCTCGATTCAATCCAGGGCCAATTCAAGGGAAACAAATTCCTGAACTATTTGGAGATTTATTTCCATTTTTGCAAAAGGAAGATAGTTATAGTATGACGACGACATCTGAATCAGAAGAAGAAGAAACAGTTCCACCAGCAGAGCAAAATAGAAGCTAGACTTTCTCCTACAGCTCAGCAAAAATCATCAAATACTGGATTGCCTCCACGAGTCCCACCTAAACCACAAACGGCAAACTTGTTGCCATCTTCAGGCAAACAGAAATTATAGCAGCTACTTCCCCTCCGTTGTTTGAAAACGAGTCACCATAAATCATATCCCCTGCCACTGCCATACAGTAATCAGTAGAAGTTAAATACTTATTTTAGTCAAAATGTTGCAGGATGAACCATGGATTTTCAGAATAAGTATACCATATGCAAAATTGATATAAAAATCGCCTGTTTTGGTAAGGAAAGATATAGCTGATATGTAAAGGCAGCAATTTTATGAAACTGAAGAAAAAAAGATTTAAAAAAACTTCTGAAATTAAATCAATCACAATTAGGTCACGGAACAACGCAGCAGAATTAACAGTGACGGTAAAGGGTTAAACTCATAACCTCCTACTGATAAGAATAAGAAATCTTGGAATATTGTAAAGGATAAAGACATAGAACAGGAGGAGCTGCCCCCCCCCCTTCTTTCCAGACTAAACTTTTACTATTGAAAATATTCATTGAAAAGCTTGAAAGGCTGGTTTGCCCAAAGCTGGAAATTGCTTGGTGTCTGTAACACCCCCCCCCCCCCTCCCCGGGGAACTGCTGGTTAACGTCATGGGAAGTGATCTTACAAAAATCAAATGTTACCCGATATCCAGGCTCCACAGACAATCAAACCTTTCAGTTTAATGATCAACTTCATTAATCATCTGATGGTTTTATGTTTTTAATAAATACATTTGTGAGAACGGTTACCTTGATATGTGTAACTGTCTGAGGGGCTAGAGCAGTAATATTGGTCAGTCAGGCCGTGAAACTTCAATTTAGATATAAAAAACATACCCCTGTCTCGATCTTTTGATAAAATGTTCAGTCCAAAAGGAATCAGCACTTATGGACAAATGATACAAACAATTTTTTCTTTGGAGGAGACTTAATATCATGTCACAAGTTTAAAATAGTGGATAATTGTATCATTTGTCCTTAAAGCCAAAGCTATATTCTCATTAATTATAAAAATTACTGCGTGCACATATTAGACAAAAATGGAGATTTCTTAAGTTTCATTGAGTTCAAGGTTCGACCTTACAGAAGAATGTATCTGAGTCAGATGCCAACCTGTTTCTAGCTGTCGCGGAATCAAATTTTTCTTCTAAAAAAAATTGCAAAATGTTGAAGCGTTACGTTGAAAGGAATTATGTATTTACTTGAAATGCTTTCGAGTCTAAATGCAAGGGTACTTGTAATTAAACCGTATTGATAAATTATATATTCTTTGATGTCTGTATATATTTTTGTTTTCTCGTTCAGTTGTTGTATGTTACTTATATGTTATTTTTTTAATACAAAAATAAATTAAAGAATACCACCAGACATATTTAAGCCAAAAATATTTTTTCTCATGGACTATCATTACATTAGCCAGATCAAAAATACCAAACCATGGAATAAAGTGTTCGGTCAAAAAAAATAACTTCAGAATGCCACAGCTATATTTACAATTAATTAAGTTACAATGTTCATACACCGGGATGGATATCACTTAGGTTACAATTAGTCCTTCCCTATCATTTGAGTGAAGGTAAATGATATTAATCTGAATGATGTTATCAAACAACTTTTTTGTAGTAACGTACAGATAATAAAATACTTTCTGTGTAATCATTTTTGTCATAGGTATTTTCTGGATAAGTCACCGAACTCACTTAAAAAATGAATTTAATTTTTGAAGATTCATGAGGTTATGAACTACGACGCTTTATGCCGGCATATTTTATGAAGCGCGTTAGAGCTTAATAGTGAATATGCCGGTGTAAAGACGAATAATGACCCACATCGAATAATGACCGGGGGTCATTTTTGGACAGCGAAAAATGTCCCCCGGTCATTATTCGACGTAGAAAAATGACCCTTTTGCCCGTAGAAAAAGTGTCACTTCCCTAAAAATTTGCAGAACCCACGTGAAGAAAAATGACCCCCGTAGAAAAATGACCACCTGTAGATTAAAGCTAAAATTTTTAGAGGGCAAAAAATAATGAATAAAGAAGCATATTGGCCAAAATGCTCACCTGAGCTTATTGGGAATAAACGGATGATATGTTGATCTCATAACATTATACAATTATAGCTATATTTTAAGGTAAATGCAATGATCCAGAATCTAAAGGAGTAAAAGATTTATCAAGCCTTAATGGTTAGGTAAACATTGTTTTTTGATGGTGGAAATCATCGAACTGACAGAAAAAATCAGCAGTATTATATATTATTATATCCTCCGCTTGAAAAGCGGGAGGGTATATAGTGATTGGGATGTCCGTCCGTCC